ACAGCGGCTTTATGGAGAAAAATGGTTGCGAACCATCTCCTTGAGTGCTTATGAGAAAATAGACACTCTCCGTGGTGACCTGACTCAATCTGCATACGATTACCCCTCAGCGGACCTGTAACCAAATTTATGAGCTGATCACCTCCTCTCCAGAGGCAGCACGGGTGACAGTGAATTGACAGTAAAATGCAGACAGTGACATAACATTTGTTTAGCTTTATTGAGGTGCCCTTTAAATACTAGAATTTCTTTTTATGCATGTTTACGAGCATCTTGGTCGCATCTGTTTTGCATCGTTTCAGCTAACAAGATTTTTTTTTTTTTAATACATTTTGCCCAGGCCTATAGATGCAATATCTATAAAGCCATATGCATATTAAAGCATTTTACATTCTATAAACTAAATAAGTGAGTGTTGACTTGAGGTAGAGTGGTCCTTTCAACAGTGAAATAATACATATATAAATAATGGTATATAATATGTATATTTTGTAAGTTTAATCAGCTTTAAGACTCAAAAGACCTTCTTAAAAGGCATAATCTTGTTTACTTTGCTCCATATTTGCATTAAACCTTGGGTTATTATTTATATGAATACATTTTAACATAAAAAAATGAATCTATGCAGCCAATTACTTTTGTCATCAAACACAAGTTGTTTTTGCTTTTTCATATAAATCACTTCCTTGGTTTAGTTTTGGCATTAAACATGAGGATGAAAGCCTTTATTGTAAATGAGGCACCAGTCTTTTTAACAGTTGGACAAATGAGACAAACATGAAAACAAGGCAGGCCCTGTCTTTGTTTAATGGCGTGGTTAAATCGGGATATGGCTAGAAGACCCCATTTCGGTGATGTCAGTGAATATGCTCTATGAAATCCTAATTTCCAGCGACGGGCAAACATTTGTACTTTGACCATTTGGCAGCTGACATCTGACAGTTACTTTTTTCCAGCTGACAAACAGATCTGTGTGGACCCATTTAGGACCAACCACAAAGAAATCACCACTCTTGTATTTATGGGTGAATTGGACTCCTTATTCACTTATGGAGCATGATGACATCACCATGTCTATTGGCTAGCGCTCCGACACATTGTATGTGATAGGCTAAGGGGTGGGACATCTTTAAGTGGTTGACCAATCACAACAGAGCCAGCCAGCTAACCAACCAATCAGAATTCAGTATTCATATAGGCTGTGAAATAAGTATCATAACATGGAAATAATCAAGTAAAGTAACCCAAAAAGTACACTAAAGCAGAATGTACTTAGTTTCAATCCACCACTGGTTACGGGCCATGTGCAACAGAGCCTCAAACGCTGCTTCTGTTGTTATTATCAGACAGCAGATTGGCCAATTCCCCCACCAATTGTGATCCAGCAGAATGGAAATCTGGTGAGCAGGGAAATGTTAATCGAGTTCAATTAGGCTTTGTACCATGTTTGTTTCCCGCCAACAGATTAAGCAGAATCCCCACCCTCGCTTACTGAAATGAATGATAACCCTCCGTCAAAAGTCTGCAACGGGTAATTTGAGGATAGGTGGAAGATGACAGATACTGGCGCTGGCAAATAGATAAATACAGCAAGCCCTTTGAACGACTTCACCCTTGAAGGGAAATTCATTTAGGATTTCTGATGCTTTTCTTTATTTTTCTTGAGCTTCTCAGTGACACTGTGGGGATATTGTTTGAACATCCTGTGCAGTAATCAAATGCCTCGGGGTGCTTTAAGAAACATCCTTTATCTGGCAGTGATTCCCTGCTGAATAGACCGACATGTTATACATTTCCACTAGTCATCAACCATTTCATTTTTTGAAATCTCTTTTAATCAGGCTTGTATTAGAAGGATCGAACATGCATGAAATGTAAGTACTTAATCCAAAGATCTCCATTTAAGCATGTTTAGTGTTTTTACTTACTATGCAGGTGCATTTGTAATATTTTGCATGATATCATATATTGCCCTGTAGTGGGAAATGTGTATTACTTGATCAACATTAGGTATAACTCTTGGATTAACTTCATTTTTCTAACAACCATTTATGTGTTTTATGAGGGAAACATTTCAGATTCTGAATTAGGACACATAATTAGAAGTGAAACCACCTTGGCTTGGGTTGTCTTTACCTTAATCCTTCAAGTTATTATTATCACAAACGAATTAACAAGTGCTCAATAAGCGGTGGTAGAACCCTTTGTTGCCATAGCAACATGTAGACTTAATCACAAATGAAAGGACTGTGGTTGTTTGGTAGCTCGCATAGAACACCTCACCTTCTCCAGCTCTTGTATTTGCTTGGTTTGATTCAGTCTAGTTTTCCCTTTTGTTTCATTGTCTTGCTCCTGGGAGGACCCACAAAAAGAGATTTGGCGTTGATTTCAAAGCATTGCATCTGATTTAATTCTCACGACTCATTCTTGCTGATTCAGATTCATGGCGCATCAGGAAAGGTGCTGCAGATGTTGCACATAGGTTACATAAGCTGACAAATAAACATGGCACAGTAGAAGCAACACATACATAAATGAGCAAGTAAGGCCCCCTTCATTTTATTTAAAATGTATAAAAAATTCAACGTTAATATTTCTCTCGTCACTCTGTCTGATAGCATAAACACCTCGTGCTTTTCCCCTCTACCATCTTTTGTCCAGCACCTACCAGTGTTTTGCTTGTGTTCCCAGCACGGTACACATACAGTACCACACAATTCAACACAACACCGGCATGGTTTAATCAATCCCCCACCATCACACACTCCCCCCCCCCCCCCCAGTCACCCCGCTGACTGCAGCACACACTGCACCTCGCTGATTGGATGCAGAGTTGCTTCTTTGGTAAATAAAACATTTATAGAGGCTCAATTAGCGCAGCCTGTTGAGTCTGCTGCAGCTGTGCTCGCCAGCTGTTTTAAAAGGAAGAGTGATGCAGGGAGGTGAGGCGAGGGAAAAGAGGATGTCAGGAACAGGAAGGGGAAAATGTATAAGGTAAGATGAAGCAAGAGACTTGGTTTTTGATTTGGTGCTGGACCAGTTGGTTTTTCCAAATATATAAAAAAGTAAGTTAAATAGCAGAGAGAAATATATGTTTTAATTAAAGTTTCACAAGCTGATTTGCAGTGATGGAAAAGTAAAGATTTCACTACAGATCTCTGTCAGGAATCTGGTTGGGAATTTATTTAGAACCATTCACTAGGCTGTTATGGTCAGAAGTCGTTTTTATTGCAAAAGTTATTGTCTCTGTTAAGTCTGCTTCTAATGATCCTACAGGAGGCTTGTATCTGCTTCCCTTGATGCCCATCAGCAGGTTAGCTGCACAACATGTTACCTCATTGATTTACTCCAGTTAAAATTGTTCAACAATCCCAAAACAGGAAGTTAAACTAACAGATAGCTGGCTAATCCTGATTCTTGAGACAGGCCACAAATGACCTGAAGTTGTGTTTTTCCCACCTTTTAAAAAAACACACAGATGTATTGTATCCTTCATACACACACTTGCTTTCACTCACTATCAGGCTTGGGGAGTAGCGTATTACAGGTAACGGATAATCAGGATACAAAAAAAGATAACTGGACTCCCTTACATTTATATAAAGAAATCTGATTAATGGTACATTTCTTAAACATTTGGGATTACTAGCAGGGTTGCAATATTACTAAAAAGCACTTAATATAATAATAATAATAATAATAATAATACACTTAAAGGTGGGGTAGGTAAGTTTGAGAAAGCGGCTCGAGATACACTTTTTGTTATATTCCATGGAATGCTCTTAACATCCCGATAGCAATGAATATCTGAAGTGCTTTGACAAAAAATCCATAAAAGAATGTAATCTGTGGAAGCCGTGGTACTGTAAAAAGCACGACCAATCATCTGAGCCGGCCCGGCTAAAATAACTGGATGGCCTACCTGCCTGTCAGCCTTCCATCTGTGCACAAACTTATCTCGTGCCCTCATTGGTCATGTGCGCGTTCGTGTGTGTTGGAGGAGGGGCTCTGTAAGGAAGTGGCAGATTTTCTCCGGTTGTGTATTTTCAAATTCCAGCGCACTCGAGCTGGTTTCTCCGAAATGACCTACAGTACCCCACCTTTAATTTAAAAACACCTTATTGATATGTATTTTCTATTTTCCTTATTTGCATTTCATTTATTATATTGTTATTATTTGCTTTTCAATCAGCACCCCTGGAGTTGGTATGGTGTGTGTGACTGCTCTCTTGTGTGTAAGAATTGATCAAAATGAAATGCCAATTTTAGATTTCGCATGAATCTCATATGCTCCCAAAGATGGGAATAAACAATCTGGTGATCAAAACCATCCCTTTGCCTGCTGTGCATGAATAAGGCAGTTATTATTATTCAATGTCTGAAACATTTTTTGATTGACAGTTGGTGCACTTTATTAGATTTCTTATCAGGAAGACCCCCATTGCTCCACCTTGGCATGTGCCGCAGCACAGTATGAGACGAGCTGCTTTATTTTCTTTTCATTTATATGACTGGTCTGAATGCCGCTTCACTGCAGCTTCTGATTTCCTTAGGTCAAATGTAGATGAGTGCCATTCAAACAGATATTGACGGAGGATTGCCAGTAAATAGTCGATTCATGTGTGAGATAGTGACACAAGAGTCGAATATAAATACAGGCATGTTTGTAGCTTGTCGGTGAAGGCAGGGTCAGGTGCTGCACAATGAGTGAATTTAGCCTGCTTGCTTTTGTCCTTTTTTAAATGAGCTTTTAATTAAATTCAGTATGTTAAAGGTGTGCATACGAACATATTTGAGCTTCTGGATTAATTGTGATACAAGGATTGCTGGAAAAGCACATGAAGAGACGGACTGATGCCAGCACTGAAATTGGTCCTGCCCCGGTCTTGCCACATACCCTTTTCATGATTTATAAATGGCCCTCTGCTTGGCTTGGTGATGATGGCTCCAAACCCTTTTAAAGTAACTTAATCCCCCTTTCTTCTGTCCTTTTCTTTCAGTGGAAGGCTGCACAGATTGGTCAGTGGACTACCTGAAATACAAGGTGCTTCTGGGGGAACCTGTACGGATTAAGTGCGCTTTATTCTATGGATATATCCGGGCCAACTACACCCATGCACAGAGCGCTGGACTCAGCCTCATGTGGTACAAAAGTGCAGGACACGGGGACTTCGAGGAACCCATCAGTTTTGACGGCACGAGGATGAGCAAAGAGGAGGACGCCATATGGTTTCGACCTGCAGAGCTGGACGATGTGGGGTATTATTCCTGCGTTTTAAGGTAAGTGGAGAAATACTGCTCTCCTCTTAACTGTCGAATTTAAATTGGTGTTTTTATTGCTTTGCCTTTGACTTGAGCAAGCGTTTGTGAGAAAGTCTTTATCCGTTTAGTAGTGTGAGTAAAATAGTGCGGGTAAATAATATCCTCTGAAGACCCTGTGGGCATGAGTGAAGCTATTTGAAAGTCCTCCTCTGGGGATTTCTAATGAAGTCTCTCTCATCTACAGTATGGCCACAAGGGCACTGCTCCTTGGTCCACAGAGCATCTAACAGCGTGAGGTTCTATATGCTAAATTATTTCTTTATTCTCCTCTGGGGGACAGTATGAGTGCAATTGTTAAATCGATTATTCTTCTTTCCTCACAAGTCCTTCTTTCTGAGCAAGGAGTGAGGTGAAAGAGAATGGACAGTAATTCTGCATGATAAGACTGAGGATAGGAGAAAGTCCTCCCACAATCTTCCTTTTCCACTTGACTGATGGTTGTTTGATTTATGACTTCTATAATGTGGTGAAATGTCTGGCTTCCTACCTCACATTGGCAGGAATTGTTATTAACGTCAAGGTTGTGTCGACATATTTTAAAATGGCAAAGCGACTTTCTTGGAAGAGCAAGTGGGACTTTAAAAAAAAAATCCTGAAAGAAAAGAACTGATATTTTCTGGAAACATTTAATTTAGCTTAAACACAAATGATTTAGTAGACAGGAGAATAATGTAGTCTCGAGCACCCAGCACAGGTCTCCATGTGTTTCATAAGCTCAACTCTAAGAGGTTTTGGCTATTACTATTCATCACCATTAGCACTCTTCCCCCTTTGCTGTGGCGGTCGCCGTGAATAGAAACGGGCAGCACCAATCCAACAATTCTCTATTCAGCGACACTGGCAGCATTTTCTGGAGGTAGACAATCAGTCAGCTCAGAGTTATTGTGTAATCACGCAGAAAGTAGAGCCATGAGATTTGATTTGGAAAAGTAGCGCTGCTTTGTCGCCAGTCTCCGCCATTCAAGAACCAAATTAAGGGGCAACACTTATGTGCCCACCATGGAGAGGAATAACAATAGTTCTGAATGCAGAGCACTTTTGCACCGCACATGATTTTCTCTCTGCAGACGTTTCTTTTGGACTATTGTTGCGTTCTGGAGGTTTTTCAGTCATGACAAGGATGTTTACTTTTTTGCTTAACTTTCAACTCCATTCACATGGAATACGTACAACGCTGACATTTACTAACAATGGCTGCATTGATGCTGCAATCAGCTGCACTGATTTTCACTGTTAATCATGCAGCTGTGGGGGACGGGGGGGTTTCAGATCTTTATTGTAGGAAGTAGACACCAGATACACTGATTACTTCCAGCACAGTAAGACCATGTCGTGAAGAAGCTTTCTAAATCTGATGAGGGACTCAAACTGTTTCAGGAAAGACTATAAAAGGGAAATTAAAAAATATTGCATTTATTATTATATAAGTTAAAAAAATATCATATTGAAAAGCCTTACTGTGTTTCATTATTATCATTATTATTATTATTATTATTATTATTTATTATAGCATTATTATGAATATTTTATTATAATTATTATTACTTGTATTATTAACATCATTATTATTCATTAATAATTACAAGTCATCCATTTAAAATTACTTTTACTTAAAGTATTTGCTTGAAAACAAACTTAAGTGCCAATATGTGTGATGTCTACTGATACCAGATTTGCCACCTTAGAGTTGCAGAAACAAGCCGAATGATGTGCACATGCTTTGTTGCTATATAGTAATAACTTATTAACCTTGTGGGTAAAGGGTATTTTCTCTGTGCCGGCTCATTAGTCAGCTATATGGTGACATACGGTGGCTTTCATCAGGGGGGAGGGTCTGTTTTAAAAGGATTAGGTTATTGGATACTGGGCGTGTGTGTCACATGCAGCGTTCTGAAGTGCAGAGCAATGCATGCGTCGGATCACGTGGGTCCATCAAATTGGAATGATTTATAGTCCAGTATTAGCATATTCTGTGTGTTGTGCAGACACAGTAATAAGGCCAAGGCTCAGTCCAAATGACTGACAGCAATGGTTTAAGAGGACCAGGCTTTTGATTGCTTAGACAATTTCTGAAAATGATTTTATTCACATTTTAGAGAGAGCCTCTCCGTAGTAATAACATTGCATTTAAACACTAAGCTAATGACCTTAAATGGTTACAGTAGGACATTTGCGAGCTTTTGTCGCATTCTTCATTCGAGCGTTGACAATGTGTTAAAAATGTAGAAATGGATTCCTCCAATTTTACAACCACACAGCAGCGCCGTTATGTAGACGTGACTCATTTGCAATTCCCACTCACCGCAGCCAAATCAGAGGATTGCTCTTCTCTTTTGTCTCGGCAGCGTGGGTCCTATAGATGATCAGCGCTTGCATATGTTAACATATCGCTTTTGGATTAGGCTCCTGGCAGTGTTTTAACGTGAGGAGATTCTCTCCCATTTTGAAAACATGAAGGGACCTGGGGAGTTAGAGCACTGAGCGGTGGAACGAATGCATCACAGCGCAACAATACATCTTCTCTCACTGGATACATGTCATACTTGAGCATGTTATAACAATTCAATCCCAGTTACTATGGTCTCTCATGATGTTATTGTCTCAAAACAAGAACTGATAGTGTGTCCAAGAATGTTATGATGTCCGCAGACAACATCTAGAAATGATCTTTCCACTGTGAATTTCACCTATGGAACTTACATGCACAAAAACCTATATAACACACTACAGGAAGGGGTCAACTCCAAAAAGCCCCCTTTTAATTATATATTGAGTTAACAAAGCCGTTTTTGAGCTTTTATTGTATACTTACCCACTTTCTGTTGTAGCTATTCAGCTGTGAGTTTATGGTGTGCTTCTCATATGGCATCAGTAATATAAGGACTGTCAGTCAGTGTGTTCAGAGATGTGTTTGCCAGCTGCCTGTCACAGGTGTTATTGCACTAGGCAAAGCTTCACAGTGCAGGCAGTGTATTCACAACAGACCCACATCAGCCAGAGAACACACACTGCTGCACACACACTTAGAAGCCAATGTGTTATCATCAAGCAAAACTCTGTTGATGATTCCCAGCAAATTACATTTTGGTTATTCCTGTATTGGTTTTATGGATTTCCAATGCAATGCATGAATTATAGTAAAACAAAGTACATTTTCCATGACATTACCGCTAGTCCTCTTCTCTCATCTTTGTGTATTTGCTCAGCTGCACTCAAGGTGTCAGAGGGCATTGTCTTACGCGAACACACACCAACACACACACACAGACATATAGCAGTTGCACTGACAGGAACTTAATGTGCCTCCAATCTGTATGTAAAAGCAGGCCAAGATGACACACACATGTACACAATAAACATTCAGAGCATGTATGCCTGTCTCTTTCGCTCACACACACACACACACACACACACACACACACACACACACACACACACACACACACACACACACACACACACACACACACACACACATCCACATGCATTAAGGACATATGATGTGGGCCACATACTGTACATGAGTGGAAGTGAGCAGATGGAGAGTGATGTGTGTCAAATCGAGGGTTTTCAGATGTCCTACCCCTGAGGAGGTCTGTCGTATGCAGAGCGAAAACATCTGCAGAAGAGTGACACAAACACACACACCCAGGTCATCCGGTTAGTTGGAGGATACCACTATCTCCTCAGCACTGCTGAGAGTCTCTCTGTAAGCCTATTAGCATAACAACGTTTCTAATTCCTGCTATTTTGTTACCTGGCTGACGGATGAGACATCAGAGTAAAAGCCGGTATGGCTAACAGGACATGAAAAGGGAGTAGATGTTTTGGAAATAATAACATAAATCTTATTTTTAAAACAGCAAGGGTAGCAACATGTTTGCAGTGCACTGTACTGTAAGTGAGCGGGTATCATTGTTTCAGTGCCAGAGCCACCACTCACCTCATGCTCACCTCAATCTCATGAAGTTTAATCACTGCCAGCTCTCTGCAGACTTTTAAAGTCACTGATCTCTCCATCCAGCCTCTCTTCATAATGTAGCATGATTTCCTCCATTGCTTTGTCCTCTATGCTCAACTGCAGCATAAATTAGCAGGGCAAACTGATTTGATGGATGTCTGTTACGGCTTTGATACAATCACATGCCGGTTTTAACGCTTCTGTAGGAGTGCTTAGCAACTTCACGCTAATCATCTTTGCTGTGTCAAAAGCTATTAAGTGTGGGGTCTCCAGCCATTCTACATTTTATTAATTCAGTTTCAGGAGACCGAAGCTGTGAAAAAGGAGCATTGTTCTTGGCCCATAAAGTGCAATCACCAACTTACCTTGACTTCTGGTCAAACCAATGCCCAAACAGAGACCCATATCCTCAGTGTATCGATCTGTTTGCAGTGTGCTGGGAGTACAGAGTCAAATTAAGGACAGCTGTAGCAGTGCAGGGAGAATCCCACTTCTTTGGCAGGTAGCTAATGTTTCACCTTTAACCCCGTTCACCGGTGTTGGCAAGCTGCCACAGTCCCGGGCTTATTAATGGGTTTCCTGCATGCCCTGCAAAGCGTGGGCTGTCACCAGCAGAGGACAAAGAGAGGATAACATAGGAGTACATCTGTATGTGTGTGTGTGTGTGTGTCCATTTGTTTATGGAGGACTGGACCTCACCTGGTACCAGGGTTGGGAAGGATACTTAAAAAATGTATTCAGGTACAATTACTAGTTACCTCCCAACAACACACACACTTTGAAAAGCACTTCCTCTCCGCTCCCGACTGCAGCCATGTTGCCTGTGTTAGTATTGGTCGGCAGGAGTGTCTGGTGATCTCTCAGGGAAGTGACAGTCAGAATAGGCCGTCTGGAACACTCTGTCATTCAGATCGAGTCAGGACCTGTCCAATTGATCCAGCCCAGCTGTCAGAGCCAATGAGAGACGCTAGACTAAGGAGCAGCATGGATGGTTTGG